ATTGTCACCTCTTAATTGGCTTCCCTGCCTCCCACCCTAGGACTCTGTGGTACACATTGTCAACAGTGAAATCACCTAACCATCATTTTCATTTTGACATTCTGATCTTCAAATTCTTAGAAGTATGTCTAGTTTCTCAACCTTGGCTTCAGGGACTTTTACAAATCTACAAGCAATTTATCCAGACTTATCTCCCATCTCGCAGTTCCCTCTCCCTCTTCCTCTCCAGCAATAGAATACTTTATACTTACACATTTACTTTATTTTCTAATTTACATACAGTAAAATTCACTGTTTTTGGTGCACAGTGTTCTATAAATTTTGACCAACGCATAGCTGCATAACTATCACCACGATCAAAATGCAGAATAGTTCCAACTTTCCCACCCGCAAAATTCCTTCATGCTATTCCTTCATAGTCAACCCTATCCCCACACAACCCCTGATAACCAGTGACCTGCTCTTTGTCACTATAGTTTTGCCTTTTCAAAGTGTTATATAAATGGAATCATACAGTATATAGCCTTTTAAGCCTGACTTCTTTCACTTACCATAATGTATTTGAGATTTGTCTGTTATTGTATGTATTAGTGGTTGTTGTTGTTGTTGTTGTTTTCATGCACTGTTTGTTTATCCAAATCTCAGTTGAGGGACATTTGGTGTTTTCCGGATTTGGGCAATTATGAATAAAGTTGCTATAAACATTCACACACAAGTTTTATTGTATGAACACAAATTTTCAGTTCACTTGGCCAAATACCGAGGAGTGAAATTGCCAAACCCATGGTAAGTGCATATTCAGCTTAATAACGGCTGAACTTTTCTGAAGTGGCTGCACCATTTTACATTTCCACCAGTGACGAATGACAGTTCCAGTTGCTTTTCTCTCACCAGCACTTGGTGGTGTTATGGAGGTACTGGAGTTTGTTTGTTTTGCCATTCATATAGGTGTGTAGTGGTATCTTGCGGGCTTTAAATTTACATTTCCCTAATGACTAATACTGGTAAGAATCTTTGCATGTGTTTACCTGCCGTCCATGTGCAGTCATTCTTCTGTATTCTCCAGAGATTGATTCCAGGATACCAACTTTTATCAGAATCTGCACATATTCAAGTCACTCACTTGGCACTGCAAAACCTACTTTGTGAAATCAGCCCTCTATATACTTGAATTATGTGTCTGCAAATACTGTATTTCACTTCACCTTTGTTTTATTTATTTATTTATTTTTGAGAAGTCTCATTCTGTTGCCCAGACTGGAGTGCAGTGGTGCAATCTCAGCTCACTGCAAACTCCACCTCTTGAGTTCAAGCTCTTCTCATGCCTCAGCCTCTGGAGTAGCTGGAATTATAGGTGCCTGCCACCAAGCCAGGCTAATGTTTGTATTTTTAATAGAGACAGAGTTTCACCATATTGGCCAGATTGGTGTCAAACTCCTGACCTCAAGTTGACCCACCTACCTCAGCCTCCTAAAGCACTGGGATTACAGGTGTGAGCCACCATGTCTGGCCTCACTTAATCTTTGGTTGAAAAAAACCTGCACATAAGTGGACTTGTGCATTTCAAACCCATGTTGTTCAACGATCAACTGTTTATTATTTGGTGAAGTGTCTGTTTAAATCTTTTGCCCATTTTAAAAATTTGGTTTTGTGCCAGGCGCGGTGGCTCACGCCTGTAATCCCAGCACTTTGGGAGGCCGTGGCGGGTGGATCATGCGGTCAAGAGATCGAGACCATCCTGGTCAACATGGTAAAAACCCCGTCTCTACTAAAAATACAAAAAATCAGCTGGGCATGGTGGCACGTGCCTGTAATCCCAGCTACTCAGGAGGCTGAGGCAGGAGAATTGCCTGAACCCAGGAGGCAGAGGCTGCGGTGAGCCGAGATCGTGCCATTGCACTCCAGGTTGGGTAACGAGAGCGAAACTCTGTCTCAAAAAAAAAAAAAAAAAAAGCAAAAATTCCTTTAAAAAAAAAATTTGGTTTTGTTTTGAAAAGAAAGAAAAGCTGAAGGACTCAAACAACATGATTTCAAGACTTACTATAAAGCTATAGTAATCAAGAGAGTGAGGTATTGGTAAAAACATAGGCGACCAGATCAATGGAACACAATAAAGAATCCAGAAATATACCCACGCAAATATGGTCAGTAAATTATTGTCAAAGGTGCAAAGACAATTCAGTGGAGAAAAGACAATCTTTTCAAAAAATAGTACTGGAACAATTGGACATTGACATAGAACCATGACCCATATATTTTACCTCATATAAATATTAACTCAAAAATTGATCACAGACCTAAATGCAAAATATAAAATGATAAAACATTAAAAGAAAGCACAGAAAATCTTTGTGATCTTCAGTTAAGAAAAGTGTTCTTAAATACAGCATCAAAAACACAATACATAAAAGAAAACAGTTGGTGAATTTGACTTGATCAAATGTAAAGATTTTGCTCTGTGAAAGATACTGTCAAGAGAATGAAAAGGCAACCCACAGAAAATATCTGTAAATCATCATTACTTTCCTGTAGAGAAACACACTTTGATAAATATACCCTAAAATTTTAGTCCCCTTTGTAACTAAAAACCTGTATACATTTGCAGACACTGCATATGGATTAGATATACTGCAGCGTGTTACCATGGAATGAAATAAAACTTTACCAAAACAAATAAGTACCATGGATGGCATCATCTTACAGATCCCAAATTGCTCTCATCATGGCTTATCCCTGGGGAGGTCATATCTAATGAGGGCAGGGCTGGAAAGGAACATGTATTTTATAACTGTAGATAATATCTTGAGTGGATTTGTGAATATGTATTTGTCTAAACATACAGTTACAGAAAGTTAAAAAACATTTGAAAAAAATTCTAAATCATATATCTTATTTGGTTAATGTAGCAACTCTATTGTTTCATTTTGTTGCCACATCTACTGTTGTATTACTGTTTTCTTTTAAAATCAGAAGACTGGCAAAAAAAGAAAGAAAGAAAGAGAGAGAGGGAGGGAGGGAGGGAAATAAATTTAGCTCAGGCTATCTTTAAAAGAAATAACCAAACTTTAGGAAAAGGGGTCTGTACTTGACTCGCTCTTTCTCTCCAACTGGTTGGCATGTGAAGAGATTCTAATACCTTTTCATTTTGGTATATTAAAAATTTAGAGTCATAAATAATCATTGGGAACTCTGGAGTCCAATATATAAAATTAAAACATAATATTTCTTAAGCAATCTTTAGAAAGAGTTTCTACAGCATGCTCTGGAAAGAATGGAAACTTGGCATTACAATATGCTCCCCATCCCCAAAAAGTTATGCTGTTATGGGCTAAACTGTACTCCCCCCAATACATATGTTGAAGCCCTAATTTCCCTACCTTACAATGTGACTATATTTGGATACAGGGCATTTGAAAAGGTGATTTAAGTTAAAATGAGATGGCTAGCGTGTGACTGATTTCCTTACAAGAAGAGGAAACTGAGACACACAGACTCTAGGGATGCTCACATACAGAAGAAAGATCATCTGAGGACACAGAGAAGGTGCCCATCTGAAAGCCCAGAGGCCTCAGAGAAAACCAATCCTGCCAAAGCCTTGATCACGGACTTCTAGTTTCCAGAACTATAAGAAAATAAATTTCTGGGCCGGGCGCGGTGGCTCAAGCCTGTAATCCCAGCACTGTGGGAGGCCGAGGCGGGTGGATCACGAGGTCAAGAGATCGAGACCATCCTGGTCAACATGGTGAAACCCCATCTCTACTAAAAATACAAAACATTAGCTGGGCATGGTGGCGCGTGCCTGTAATCCCAGCTACTGAGGGGGCTGAGGCAGGAGAATTGCCTGAACCCAGAGGGCGGAGGTTGCGGTGAGCCGAGATTGCGCCATTGCACTCCAGCCTGGGTAACAAGAGCGAAACTCCGTCTCAAAAAAAAAAAAAAAAAAAAGAAAAGAAAATAAATTTCTGTTATTTAAGTCGTCCAGTCTGTGCCACTCTGTTATTGCTGCCTCAGCTAATACATACACCAAGGCATTTATTCATACTCATAATGTCAGCTCAATAATATTTTTAATATAAATGAAACATAATATTTTAAGATTGAAAACAAAGCAAAACAGAAAAACTAAGAAATGAATGTAATAGACGTGTTCAGAAGTATTAGACCAAGCATCCAAACCATAGCAGCGTGATGCTTGCAAGAGGCAATGTCAAGAGATGATAACATGTCACTGAAGGAAATTTATCACACACAAGCTAAAATCAGACAATGTTAGAGGCTTAGTGTATTAGAGACCACCCTAGCAGTCTCACGTTAACTTACTCGCCTTTTTAAAAGCCCTATCTCCAAATACAGTCACATTCTGAGGCACTCAGCTTCAATATATGAATTTTGGGAGGACACAATTCAGCCCGTAACACTTACACCTTGGGAGCTGAAGTATCTTTTTTTTTGGTCTTTTAATGTTCATGGAAGAACATGCATTTTCTTTGACAAAACTTGTCCTATTTTTTGTCCCTGAATATATAATATTTGCTGCATAGCATATTACCTCAAACTTAGTGGCTTAGAATACAGGTATTGATCGACTTACGACCTATGCAACTTACGACCATTTGACTTTACAACCACAATCGCTAGCCACGACTGCTCCACGTCTGGCAGCGCAAACGTTGCCCAGCTGGGCGAACGACAGTGCAGGCCAGCTTCCGGCAGCACTACCATCTCCGAGTGCACCATTTCAACTGTTATCCCAGACTCGGCACAGCAATTTGTGTTTTGTGTCTTGGATAATTTTCATCAAACCCCTCCCAATAAACTCCTTATACATTTCAAAGCAATGGACCCAAACATCAAACAATTTGCAAGGATTGAACGGATGGCGCACGACGTGTTTCTTCCGTATCATGAAATTTATGAAGAAAAAAAGAAACATACAATTCAGACAAAGCTCACCATGTTTATGAAAAAACCAACTCCGTTAACCCTAACTGCTGCCTCAGATGACGACATCAACGATCCGCAGCCAAGCACCAGCGGCCAATAAAATGTTTCGCACATGTTTATATATTTTGATATGTTTTGCAATTGGGAAAATGTTTCCTATGGTATTTTTTTACACCTGTATTTTGTATTTTTGTATGCACCTGTATTTTGTAATTTTGTATGTTTTGCAAATATTAAACCAGTTGTACTGGTAATGCAGTGTTTTACTTAAACCTGACGAATGTAAAAATAAGAAACAAAATGATGTAGAGATGATACAAATGGCATAAAATGAACAAAGAAAATTATGATATATAACAATAATGAAAGAAAATTATGATAAAATATGACTTAAAGATTTTTATAACATCATTTCACAGTACTGTACATATAGTCTACTCAACTTACCACCAAATCGTGTTACGACAGGTCTGTCGGAATCAATCGTGGTCATAAGTCGAGCACTAGCTGTAATACCCATTTATTATCCCATATTTCTGTAGCTCAACAGTTCAGGTAACACATGGTTGGGCCCTCTGCATAGTTCTCACAAGGCTGCCATCAAGGGTTCCACTCAGGCTATGATCTCATGCAAACTCCAGGTGTTCCATACTCACTCAGGCTATTGGCAAAATTTAGTCCCATGCAGCAATAGAACTCATGGTGGCCTTCATCTTCTGCAAAGCAAGCAGGTGAGCAATTCTCTGCCTTTGAATCTTTGCCATAAAAAGTAATGTAATCATGGAAGTGAAATCCCATCATATTCACAAGTTGCACCCATATTCAAGTGGAGGAGATTATACCAAAAGTGTGTGTCAATGGGCAGGAATTTTGGGATCTGTCTTTTTTTTTTTTTGAGACAAGAGTTTCGCTCTTGTTACCCAGGCTGGCGTGCAATGGCGCGATCTCGGCTCACCGCAACCTCCGCTTCCTGGGTCCAGGCAATTCTCCTGCCTCAGCCTCCTGAGTAGCTGGGATTACAGGCACGCGCCACCATGCCCAGCTAATTTTTTGTATTTTTAGTAGAGACGGGGTTTTTACCATGTTGACCAGGATGGTCTCGATCTCTTGACCGCATGATCCACCCGCCACGGCCTCCCAAAGTGCTGGGATTACAGGCGTGAGCCACCGCGCCAGGCCGGGATCTGTCTTATATGTGTCGTGTGGCTTTTTTCTTTTTATTTTTTGAGATGGGTGTCTTGCTATGTTGCTAAGCCTGGTCTCAAACCCCTGGGGTCAAGCGATCCTCCTGCCTCTCAGCCTTCTGAGTAGCTGGGATTATAAGCATAGTGCTACTCTGCTGGGTCTCTTGGGGACCATCTTAAACTTCTGCCTATCACAATAAGATAATAAAACGGTAATTATATAGTATAATACATAATTTCATAATTGAAATTACGTAAGTAATTTCAGTGTGATGAGTTTAAAAGTGTGTGTTAGGAATTTTCTGGTGCAAATGCCAGAAGCCCAACTTAAGCACCTTTAGGCAAACAGGGCAAAGTATTTGAAATATGTCATATATTTGGAATAAGCGTGAATAACCACAGTGCTAGGAGTTACATAGGTATGCAGAAACAATAAACCAAGGTCTAGGCAGTAGTCACAATTCACTTTCTCTCTCCCCCATTTTTTTCCTTATCCCTCATTTTTACTCTTTCATATTCTTCCTGTTACATGCACATACACATAAACACGCTAACAAACTCTGTAGAACAGTTTCTTCTATGTGGCACTGACAGTATTCAAGTTTCATAATTCATAGCTACTACTATGGAAGAGGGAAAAAAATCTTAGCAATTCTAGTTTGAAAAATTCAAAAAGGACTCCGATTGACTCCTCTTTCATATATCAAATATCAAGATCAGGCCCGGTGCTATGCCTCATAGCTGTAATCCCAGAGCTTTGGGAAGCTGAGGTGGGTGGATTGCTCGAGCCCAAAAGTTCATGACCAGCCTGGACAACATGGTGAAACCCATCTCTACTAAAAAATACAAAAATTAGCAGGGTATGGTAGGGCACCCCTATGGTACCAGCTACTAGGGAGGCTGAGGCCAAGGGACTGCTTGAGCCTGGGAGGTTGCAGCTGCAGTGAGCTATGATCAAGAGTCACTCCAGCCTAGGTGACAGAGTAAGACCTGTCAAAAGAAAGGAAAGGAAAAGAAAGGAAAAAGGAAAGGAAGGAGAAAGGAAAGGAAAACAAAGGAAGAAGGAATGGAAGAAGGAAAGAAAAAAGAAGGAAGGAAGGAAGGAAGGAAAGAAGGAAACAAATCAAGATCAGTCAAGTATCAACAGTTGGCAGAATTATGCAAAAACATGGCAGTTTCCACTGGAACTACATAGTTGAAGTGGCATAAAAGCCCGTCTCAAGGGATGGGTGCTAATCTCTACCATTGATTTTTGCTACAAGCAGCTACAGGGCTGCTTATGGCTTTCAAACAAAGGGCCGGTAGTGTGGAGATTCTATACAGAGTTTCCTTTTCTTTTCTTTTTTTGACATGGAGTCTCGCTCTCTCACCCAAGCTGGAGTGCAGTGGCACAATCTCAGCTCAGTGCAACCTCTGTCTCCTGGGTTAAGGCGATTCTCCTGCCTCAGCCACCCAAGTAGCTGGGACTACAGGTGTGCACCACCACGCCCTGCTAATGCTTTTTTTTTTTTTTTTTTTTTTGTATTTTTAGTAAAGATGAGGTTTCACTGTGTTGGCCAGGGTGGTCTCAAACTCCTGACCTCAAGTGATCTGCCCAACTTAGCCTCCCAAAGTCCTGGAATTAAAGGCGTGAGCCACTGCACCAAGCCTCTATATAGAGTTTTGTATTTCAAAACTTTAGCACCCTTTTATTACTAATTTTTTTCTAAAAGATTGTTTCTAAGTTATATTTTCATAATTAAGATATTCTAAATGTGCTAGATGTACTCACTATTGGTAGCAGGTTATCATGGAGTTTACAGGTGGTTTTAATGGAATCCATGTGCCTCAAAACTGTATGGGAAACTGGGCAATTACATGAGCATATAAGAGGCACAGTTTTCCGGGGGAAATGGTTAAGACTCATTTGGCTCTAGAGCAACCCTGCTTGGTTTAAGTCACAGCTCAGTCACTTGCTACCTGGATAATCCTACTCTGGTTACATAACCTGTATGCTTCAGCTTTCCTCACCTGTAAAATGAGGATAATAATACAAAGAAATCTGAAGGCTTGTCTTGAAAATAAGTACACTAATAGGTATAAAGGATTTAGAATGGTAAGAGTTTAGTAAACTTTAGCTATTGTTAGTTCAACAGCACTCTTTTGATTCCTATTAGAATCCAAATGCCAAAAAGGTTAAAAATAACAGATTTGAAGAAATCCTTTTGTAAATCCTTTTTAAAATAAACTTTAGTTAATCACATCCACATGTATCTGTTTTCTGATTCCAGATGTTCATATACCAGGCTTCAAACCACAATGCAACATTAATGACTATGAAGATTACCTGTGTGAGAAAGACCTACCAAAAACTCTTATAAGCAAGGTTTGATTATAAAGAAGCCAAGGCAATCTTTGTAAATCCTTTTTCTTGCAGAGTGAGTCTGAGCTTTTGCTACCTATTTAGTAATGATAATCAATGCCCACATTTAGAGTAACCTCTTTAGTACTTAGTCCATCATCAATGGTATGAAATACACAGAAATTACTTTCCTGATAGCATTTATACCTTGCATTTAGTCACTAATAATCTTTAACTTCATCTCCTCTTCCTCAACTCTGGGGGAACGACTCAAAAGGTCCAAAGGGGTCTATGGGCCAGTGTTTCACTTCCTTCTAAACAAATGTCAGCTGGGCCTCTGCTTCTTCACAGGCTTCTGTTGGAGAATGTTATCATATGTACTACTGTTCCCTAATAAAAACTAATATGTACTGAGCACTTATTTTATGCTTAGTTATATACCAAGTGCTTTTACACTCACCATCTCATTTAAGTCTTAAAAAAAACCCTGTGGGGTTGGTACTGGTATTATCCCTATTTACAGATGTAAAAAATGAGGCAGATAGAGGTCAAATCCATGATTCACAGTCTCACAACTTTTTAGTGTAGGTATTGTGATTTGAATCCAGGTAATCGAATGCAACAGGCACATTCCTTAACCATTATCTATGCTGCCTTGCCAGTTAGGTCTTAAAAAGAAGAAGAGTGATTGTGAGAGTAAGGAGGGATGACTAACATCCATGCAAAATGACAAAAACAGTAGAGAAGATTAGATCTTTTAAAGTAAAAAGTAACTTGGCTGATAGGCAAACCCAAGTTTGAGAACTTGCTCCACAACTTTCCAGCTATATGACCTTGAGGAAGTTACTTAGCTAAGTTTTAGTAATCTAGCTTGTAAAATGAGGGCAATGAAAGCACCAACTTCACAGGGTGGTTGTGAGGATTAAATGGCATCATGCCTGTAAAATGTTTATCAAGGTGGCTGGCATTTAATAAACACTGCATAAATGTTGCTTGCTGTTATTATTATTTTCAGTATTTTATTCTACCTGGGCTTCTCAGCTTCAGACACCCTTTTTCTTTCTGTTTTTGTGGTTTAAGTACAGAGCTGTGTTGAACTAGGGTTGAGTCTTACTAATTCAAGCTCCAGGCAACCAGATCTTCACTTTCTTCCTGCAATTCTATTTGCCACCCACCTTATCACTACTGATTTCGTGCCAGATTATAGATTTTCATTCACACATTTTAATTTAGAACCTTCCCTTTTATCTGTTTTTCAAGCATATTGTGTTAAAATTCCCAAATGACACTCTCAGAGTTTGCTACAAAGTCCTTATGATAGCTTTTAGAAAACTCAAAGTTGTTCTTAGGGGAACAATCATAGCTTTGCATTTCGTTGCTGAATAGAAAATCTGGAAGAACAATATCAACTTTTAAATGAAATTATGTGCCTGGAAGGGGAGTATAAATATAAAAAAAGGAGAGCACCTCATTATCATTCTTTCAAGCTGCTGGAGTGAAACTTGAGTCATTGCAAATTCCAATATCAAAAACTCTCTTGGATATACTAAAGAACACCATTATGCACACAGCAATAAAATGAGGATGTTATTCGAGGGAGCCACTAAGAATAAAAAATAGCCAAAGCAAATTTCTAAAATGAGCAATACAATAGGCTCGTTAATAATTATTGCGAAATAGGTCTAAAATTTTCCAACTGAAACTGAATTCCTTGGGGTTCTTCACCAGCCAGGGGCATCATCTTTTTTTTTTTTTTTTTTTTCTGCTTGCAAGAATTTTCTACCTATAACTGTCTAAACACAAAGAAACATTTGATTTCGGTATTGATATTTATCAGAGTACTCTTCAAAATAAGTGAAATTAGGCTTCTTTTTACGCTGGGGAACCGGCAAACGGCTTTTGAACGAAGAATAAGCATATGAAGAAGTCATGCTTCACCATTTTGCTGTAATCTTCTAAACTGCCTTCATGACGTAAAACTTTTAATTGCAGAACATTTAAGAATTATTGAATGTCTCTTCAATAAAGCTAGTCATTAAAGTTTATTTTTTAGTTGATAGTCGTATATTTAGAAATATATATACCAGTTCATTTTCTCTTGCCGTTTCCGTTTACCTCATACAGAGGTTTCAAGTGGGATCTCTGCCACATTCACATTCAGAGATTTCGGCCCTAAGAACTGTTCATTTTTAATGTTTGTAGTTTCAATGGTTTAACTTTTTCTTTTTTCTGATTTTTTTTGCTGTGTAATTATAAATTATAAATTTCTGATTTTATTAGCTGAGTAGGCTACAGTATAGATAATAGAGCTAGTGTTAGATCATTTTTAAAGCCTTTTAGGTCTGTATGGAGGGAAGAAAGAAAAGGAAGTCGGGGAGTCCCCATACCCCACACTCTGTCCAAAGGTTAGGAAATTGCGGTCAGGCGTTCCTTTCCTTGGCTTCCACCATCTGAAGGCGTCTATAGCAAGAATTAGAATCAAAACCAAAGAAACAAGAAATCAGCTGAAAATAAAACACTAAGAAATGGTAGTTTATTTTCTTTTGCCATGCTGCAAAGGAGAGTCGAATTTTTCGCAAAAGCTGATGGAGCTGCTGGCTGAGTTTTTCCGGAGCAGGCAGTAAGTGCATCCCCTCCTTCGCGCCTTTTCCCAGCTCCTGCCCAATTAGCTGACTGAAGGCTGATGCAAGGCCTGCGCCTCTCCCAGACTCCGGCCAGGCCCCGCCCAGCGCAGAGGTGGGCTGCTCCCGGCGGGGGGCTGCCCAGCCCCAACCACCGAGAAGAGGCCCTCTGGTGTCCTAGAGCGGCCACAGGCCGCTGGGCCGAGTTGGAGAACACCGGGTGCCTGAAGCCGTTTCTGTGGTCCTGCGCCGTCTCCTGCGTTCCAGGAGCCGCCACCTGATTCCCTACGCTAAGTGCGGCCCTCTGGCGGAACCGCGTCTGTGGCGAGGAGCGGGGTTCCAGCCTGCTGCGCTGACACGGCCCCTGGCGTTTTCCGTGCTGGCCCTGGGTCGCCCTCGACGCTGCTTCCCGCCGGGAGCCTCCTTCTCACGGCAGAAAGGAGCTTCACCTGGGGCGGCCGGCGGGGAACCGAGAAGAGCCCGCCGGGGAAGTGAACCGGGCTGGCTCCCAGGCCCGGCGCTGCGGCTCTGGGGCCGCCAGACCTCCTGCGGGTTGCGTTTCATTCCTCGGTTTTCTAGACCCCAGTTTTGGGGTTGAATCCTTGCTGTGGTTTTGTAAGAATTAAATGATAAGGCGAACACCAATCATTGCTGCTTGCTGGGTGCTTCCTGTGGGCCTGGCAATATTAACGGCTTAACCCGAACTCGTTCCTGCATTCATTCGCTACTCGTGGGCCTTTCCTATCAATACTGCAAGGTGCTGGAGGGGCCCCCACCCTTTGGTCAGTAAAACTGCCAGGGTCACTGACCTTCTGAAGACGTTGAGGATGAGAGGTTTGTTGGAGTCCGGAAGTGGAGACAGACTGAACAGTTAACTACAAAACACGTTTTAAAATTACAACTTTGAGAGCCGATAGCGGGAGACCCCTTTGGGGAGGGGTGGAGGTGGGGAAGAGGAGGAAAGGAAAGGCTTCCCTGAGGAGGTAACGCTGCAGCTGTGACCTGACAGATGGGGCCGAACCAGCTGGACTCGAATTGTGTTTCAGGCCTAGGGAATAGCATAAGGACTCAAGCTGTTTCCTTCCAGGTTGAGTCCCTATGCTCAAACTGGTATTTGGCACACACCAGTAGTGGAACGCCACTCAATGCCTTATTCTCTTCCCCTTCTCTCAGCTCTGTCCCCTCCACATAGTAGGAAAATGAAGCTGGTAACTAATTTTGGCCCGAATAGTCCTGTTATTATATCTGTTATACTCCACCATGCGGGCTCTTCCTAACTCCTTTTGATCAAAATAGATATTTTTGAAAATGTGAAGAAAGCAGTATCGTATCTTGTATGGTTTCTCATTGCCTTCTAAATCAGATATAAACAACAAACTTGCTTGAGGTGTTCTCTGTCAAACCAAGGACCTACATTTAATTCCAGCTTACAGTCTGCTGCACCCTTTTGCTATCTTCCTTAGTTGATGTTGACTCCATTAGGAACCCTGTATTCAGCGTTGAAAGCATTGCATATTCTGAAGCAATTGTGTTCTTACTCAGCACAGGCATTTCTGTTATCCCAAGAATCTCCCTACCTCCAGAACATGTTTACTCCTTAATCACTTCCTGATAGTAGAGAAGACTACTATTACTCTAAATACTGTAGTTACAATTATTGAATATAGGCACGTTTTTGAATTAGAAGAATCCTATCCCAATCCAAGGTATAATTTGCTGATCCCATACTGATTCCTTTTCTTCCCACTCCGTGTCCTTTCATCTGCTATTTTCGAGTCCAGATGCCAGCCAGGCATTTGAGAACCATCTGATGGTAACAGGACGGAGGCTGACTCAACTTCACTCCACCACCTGCCTTCCTGCCTTCAGGGAGATTTTGTACATAGCTTGTCCTTTAACTTCTGCTTGTTACTGTTCACAGCACTGTGATTCTACTTTAAGCACATTCATATTCATTACTTTTTTTCCTCCTCTTTCCTGTTTATGATTACAAAGGTGCTTAACCTATTTTATTTCAGAACCAAAAAAGAGATCGAATTATAATGATAACATGAGTATAGTATTATACTAAAGGATACTAGTAAGACACTCAGTTCCTGCTTTGTTCCCATAATATTTTGTGAATATGTCTATGATAGTATTTAATACATTGCGTTATGACTAGTTGGTTGTGTCATTCTCCACTTATTAATTAGACTTCTTTGAGGATATTTAAAAAATTTTTTTTCTTCATTTGTTCTTGTACTTAGCTCAATGCCTGGCAACAAAACAAAAAAAATCATTGTTGAATCAGTTTTTAAGTGAAATAGGGGTAAATGGGAGGCCCCAGTCTTTGAAAATGCCTACAGATCCCCTTCAGAATCCTCACACATTTTCATCAATCTTCTTACCCTGTAAATAAATATACTTTCCTCAAATATTAAAGATATTTGTAAAATAAATGTTATTCAATTTATTTTTTTCTATTACAGTGGGGTGTGTGTGTATATGTGTGTGTATATATATGTATATAGTTGTATTTAAACTAGGAGAAAAGGAGCAAGTCTGTGAAATATCATTTCCCCATTTACCAACAAGACGATTATCTCAGAAGGTTAAAATGTGAGAGAAACTAGTGTTCAAATCCTGCTCTTACTGATGCCACAGCCAATGTTCTATCTTTGGTAGAAATCAAACTGTATTTTTCTTATTGTTCAAGTAATGTAATTAACTATAGAAAAATAAGAAGTCACAGATGAACGAAATAAAGCAAAAGTAAATAATATTCATCCATGATTTCATCATTCCAAGCCAACAATTGTTAACATTTTTGTGAATACATATATATAAACACACATTACATATGCACAGTTGTTTTGGAGTTTTTTTACAAAACGGAAATCACACAAATTTTAATCTTTTATAATCTACTTTTTTGCCTAACAATATGTGATAACTCCTGTCTCTTGATTCATTTATTTGGGTTTTTCATCCTGGGCACTATTTACATATTGGGCCAGATACTTCCTTGTTATAGAGGGTGATAAAAATTCTTTGCTTGACCAAACTTTATCAAGGCTCCTGAATCTTCTTCTAGGCCTGTCTGTATACTTTCTTGTAAAATCAGACTTAGCAACAAACCTTTTTCCTCGGTTTAGTGACTGCCCCCCACCACCTGAATCCTTGATATATGATCACCATCGATATGTTCCTCATCCTCCAACATCCTTAGATGAATTCTCATAACCCTAGCCTGTCATCAGCAAGAATCCTGTTCGGTTGTGTTAGCCAAAGTCCTCCTTATCCTTGATGCTTCCTCTTAGCAGTTTTCTATTCACTTATCCTACCCTGTTCCTTATCTATAAATTCCCACATTTCCCATGCTGTATACAGAGTTGAGCACAATCTCTCTCCCTAACTGCGAAATCTTATTGCAGTGGTCCCTATCCCTACGGCAATGATCTTGAATAAAGTCCTTGCCGTGCTTTAAGAAGTGTCATTGATTTCTTTTATAGGGCCTGTCCTATGCAATGTAGAATATTTAACAGCATCCCTGGCCTTTATGCACTGTATGCCATTAATACTACCCCTTCTTCATTGTGGCAAACATAAATGTCTCCAGACGTTGCCAAATATCTCCTGGAGGACAAAATTGTCCCTGGTTTGTTCTAATATTAATCATTTCTCTTTTCTTGACACTTGCCTACCCAATGACTATTAGAAACTCAATAGTAAATGTTTCACATTTTGCATTTTGTTGTAGAAATAGTTAATACCAAGTTAACAGAAGTTTTACAAAATTAGGTGTTTTAAACTCTTTATTAAACTCTGAAATAATGCCTCCAAACTCTGGAATGCTTTTTCATCTTAGAGTGTACCCTTTTTATGACCTGTGGATTTCTTATTTAAAATTTAAAAGTTAGCTTTGAGTGAATGAAGCATAAATTATCTTAAAGCAAAGGTATAATAACATTATGAAAAAGTATTAAGACTGATAGCCTTTGGGAGAAGTGAATTTGCTAAATGAGTGACTTTGATAAAATTTTTATGCACAGATATATGTACTTGGTTGATTTTTATCATTGCAATGTCTTTTGTATCTTTGATTTTCAGAAGATTTCTACAATAAGTACATTCTTACACTAAAAATTCTTGAACATCTTTCCAAGTTTAAAAAGTCAGAAATTTTTAGAAGCTGTTATACTTTACTTTTTCAAAAATGTTTTTGGCCAGGCACAGTGGCTCACACCTGTAATCCCAGAATTTTGGGATCACAAGGTCAGGAGTTCAAGTCCAGTGTGGCCAACATGGTGAAACCCCGTCTCTACTAAAAATGCAAAAATTAGCTGGGCATGGTGGCACATGCCTGTAATCCCAGCTACTCAGGAGGCTGAGGCAGGAGAATTGCTTGAACCAGGACCTGGGAAGTGGAGGTTACAGTGAGCTGAGATAGGGCCACTGCACTACAGCCTGGGCTACAGAGTGAGATTCTGTCTCATAAAAAAAAAAAAAAAATTTTTTTTACTTTTTTTTTTTTTTAAAGATGGGGTTTCACCATGATGGCCAGGCTGGTTTTTGAACTCCTGACCTCAGGTAATCCACCCACCTCAGCCTCCCAAAGTGCTAGGATTACAGGTGTGAGCCACCGCGCCCGGCTAATTTTTTTACTGTTAAATGAAAACGCATTATAAACAATTGTATTAAAAATGCAGTTTAATGAATTGCTATAATAGGAACACTGTATAATCACCAATGCACATCAAGAAGTAGAATATTGGTAGGGCTCAGAAGCATCCCTACCTCCATGCCCATCCCCAGCTTCCTCTCTCTTCTTAAGTGTAGTTCCTTCCTGGTACTTACGGGTAATATGTAGTCACTTCATTGTTGTGTTTATTCTCTATTTTTAATTTTAATTTTAGAGACAGGGTCTCAATCTGTCACCCAGCTGGGAGTGCACTGGCACCTCAGAGCTCACTGCTGCCTCACACTCCTGGGCTCAAGTGACTCTCCATCTCAGCCTCCCAAGTAGCTGGGATTTTAGGTGTGAGCCACTACGACTAGTCCTTTTTTAATCTTTCACCACAAAAATGTGCATCTGTTTACACTGGAGTTTAGTTTTGCTTGTTGTTGAAGTTTATATAAATGGAATTATACACTATGTGGTCTTCTCTAGCTCAAAATTATGTTTACAAGCTTCATCTGTATCATTGTGTATATTACATTTTATTTATTTGCACTGTTGTATTGTTTTACAGTCTACGAATATATCGCTACCCTTGATGAACATTTGCTTTTTTCTGGTTTTGGCCAATGATAATGCCTGTTGATACACATGTGCCTACATTTTTGTTGCCTATATATCTAGAATTAAATTGGTGCATTTAAGAGAATACATTCTACAAATTTATAGCGAAATACCAAACTGTTTCCCAAAGTGGCTCTCCACTTATATCTCCACCAGCAGTTCATGAGAGTTCTTGAATTTTCATATTCTTGCCAACACGTGGTATTTTTAGCTTTTTTTATATGTAGCCATTGTGGTGGGTTTCTAGTGGCTTTAATTTGTATTTTCCTGATTCATAATGAGGTAGAGCACCTTTTCATGTGTTTATGAAAAGATATCCTCTTCTTTGACATCTGGTCAAAATGTATCCTAAGTGTCTGGTCAAGTTTCTTGACCATTTTTCTATTGAGCTTACCTTCAATCTTTTTCTTAGTATTTTGTAGTAAATATTTTCTCAATATGAGTTATTTGTGTTTCATTTCATTTCATGACTTGTTTCTTTACTTTTCAGTTTTCAACTTTTCTAAGTACTCTGTATTAGGAATATGTCTTATGCATAACATTTAATTAGATTTTGTGGCATAATTCTTCTGAAAGTCATTCTGTTTTCATAGGCAAATGTATTGATATAATAGACATCCATTTTACCTTTCTTGGTTTTTATCTTTTATTATGTGATTGATATCTTTTTTATGTTTGTATTTTATATTTATATGTATTCCTACTAAAGATGTAAAAAATTGCATTCTATGTTGTTTTTCGGCTAGATGTTACCATAACTTTCTTTTTCTTTCTTCTTTTTTTCTTTTCCTTTACTTTTTTCTTTTTCTTTCTTTTTTTTTTTTTTTTTTTGTTGTTGTTGTTGAGACAGGGTCTCCCTCTGTCACCCAGGCTGGAGTGCAGAGGAGTGATCATGGCTCACTGCAGCCTTGACCTACTGGGCTCAGGCAATCCTCACCTCAGCCTCCCGAGTAGCTGTGACTGTAGGTGAGTGCCACCCCACCCAGGTAACCTTTTTTTCTTTCATTTTTAGTAGATACAAGGTTTTACCATGTTGGCCAGGCTGGTCTCAAACTCCTGACCTCAAGTGATCCATTTGCTTCAGCCTCCCAAAGGGCAGGGATTATAGATGTGGGCTACCATGCTGGGCCCACAGCTTTCTATAAACTATTTTATTCTCGCCGGGCGTGGTGGCTCATGCCTGTAATCCCAGCACTTTCGGAGGCCGAGGTGGGCGGATCACCTGAGGTCAGGAGTTCGAGATCAGCCTGACCAACCTGGAGAAACCCCATCTCTACTAAAAATACAAAATTAGCCGGGCGTGGTGGCGCATGCCTGTAATCCCAGCTACTGGGGAGGCTGAGGCAGGAGAATCACTTAAACCCAGGAGGCAGAGGTTGCAGTGAGCCAAGATCGCGCCATTGCACTCCAGCCTGGGCAACAAGAGCAAAACTCTGTCTCAAAAAAAATAAAATAAAATAATTCTCTATTTCTTTTCAATATACATACTATGCATATATATATATATGCTTCCCCACTATGAACAAAAGGTCCTTTTTATTTCTATTCTCTGCCCTCTAAAACCTGAGTTAAACTGTATTTTTTATATTCTTCTAATGTTTACTTCTATATCTTTTTTTTTTTTTTTTTTTGAGACGGAGTTTTGCTGGGATTACAGGCACGCGCCACCATGCCCAGCTGATTTTTTGTATTTTTAGTAGAGATGGGGTTTCACTATGTTGACCAGGATGGTCTCGATCTCTTGACCTTGTGATCCACCCACCTCGGCCTCCCAAAGTGCTGGGATTATAGGCGTGAGCCACCACTTCTATATCTTGAAATGTGGTTCTATATTTATCACTTGATCTGTCAGCTTTAAAACCTAACTTTGTAATCTCAGCTATAACTTAGAGAAAATCAACATGTTACATACTTCCCACCTTTTTACTCTTTTTCCTCTCCTCTTTTGTGAATTATAATTATTTCTATATTTACTATAGCCCTCATGGTTGTT